GGTAACTATTTTATAAATAACTCTATACTTACGAACTGGTAGTTTTATGTACAAGCGAACAAACATAAAAGTATTAATTAATAGATTATTCCAATAATAGTAAAATGTGTAAATTTATCTTATGAACTTACTTGCTGGTAGATTATATATGTAAACAATTAACAAAGAAATATAATTTCTTTTGGCAATAAATTTAGTGATAGTTCATAAAAATATATTATACTTACATCCTGAATACACGAGTGAATAAAACAGTGAATATGTTTTATAATAATAATATTGACACAAAATGAAATTATCCTATACTTACATCCTGGAAGTTTTACACAATACAAAAATTATATTTAGCAGATAATTTCCATGAATAATAAAAGTACCGAGATTATTTTATAAATAATTTTATACTTACAATCTAGTAGTTAAATGCACCATTAACAAACAGCAAGTAATATTTTAATGCATTTGACAATAAAATAAATAGAAATTTTATACTTACGTGCTGGTAATTTGACAAATAAGTGAAGTAATATTCGTTAGATGATTAATGGACAATTCAATTGATAAAATTTAGATACTGTGATATTTTATGAATAAAATCTCTACTTACACACTTGTAATTTAATACGTAAGTAAAATATAAGAGCAATATTTAACGTATAATTCTATTGGTATTAAGATGAGGTAATTATTTATAAATAAATTTGAGACTTACAAACTATTAGTTGAATACGAAATGAAAAAAATAAAATAATATTAATAGATCATTCTATTGCAGTATTGGCGATGTAATATTTAGAATAAAATTTTATATTTACGCGCTGGAAGTTTAAGACATAAATGAGTAAATGGAGAAACAATATTTAATAAATAATTTCAACTGATGATAAAATTTCATAAACATATCATACAATCTATTAATTTAATACGAAAGTGAAAGAATAGAAAGTAATATTTATGAATAATTTTCAATTAAAAAATAAATAAGAAAATAAATTTATGAATAAAATCTATACTTACAATCTGATGTGTTGTGAGTAAACAGATGGGAATATTTAATATATAATTCTATTGATGATAAAATGGTAGATTATTCTTTGAATTACTTTACTTACTTGCTGGTAGTTTAACACGCGAATAAACGAAGAAGCAATATTTAATAGATAATTTCTGTTAATTGTAAAATGTGGTGAAATTTCATAAATGAACTCTACACTTACAAGCTGTAGTTTAACAAAAAGATATAGTTAATGAAGAATGCAGATAATAGAATATAATTATTTTATGAATCGACTATACTTACTCCCTGTAATTTAAATATAAGCGAGAATGAAGAATACTAATAAATAATTTTTATTGACGTTGAATAAACTATACATACATATTCATTTTCGTGCCTAATTCTTAAGTGAGAAAACAAAAAAGTAATATTTCGATGGACAGTTCCTATTGACGAATTCTATATAAATGATGAAGTATTTTATATAATAAAAATACTTTTTCTATAAATATAACATCTAATTACAGGTTTTCCTTTTCGGCACTCATATTATAAGAGTGCTGTTTATTACGTAATTATTAGGAAAGTCATTCTATCACGTTTATTGTAGGAGTTTGGTTTTTAATAAAAAGAAACTACGTAATAAATAGCACGCCCTTGTTCTATTGCTGAATGTTTTAACACATTGATAAAGAAAATTATAAAACATTTTTTATTTACGCATCAATAAGGCGTCTTTTCCAAATTTAGAAAATCTAATTATTTGTTGCTTTCATAAGCCAAATTTCAATTGTCATTTCCCTATAAGCCACATTATTGTTCATTGGGAGATCTTTAAACATTAATAGTCAAAAGGATTTTGAGTCGAATAGAGTTGAGATATTAAAGAGTATGAAGAACGGTAATATAATGTAAAGGTGCAAAGATCGAAATATATATTTAAGAGTATGATATGTCACGATAAATACTTACTTTAAAAGCAATATCATATACCTGATACGTACGTACGATTGAACGTAACGACTATCTAATTTTGTGTACGTATTGATTTATATGGCTTAGATTTAGTAGAAAATTTGTGGCTTACTTTAGTTAAACAATAAGGTACGTACGTCATACATACATATGTATGCAATTCTTGAATGTGTGCAAGGTTGGTGGTGCATTAATCAGTTTAAATAATTTGCTCAATTGAAAATTTTTAATGATAACAATAATAATTTTATAAATTTAATAAAATAAAACGAAAACTATTTTTTACCGTTATTTCTACTCAAGTCATGTTCTTGTTATTTCAAAAAAGCACATTTCCCTCCATTTTTTTTTCATTATCTTTAGCTTCTAATATTATTGTTTTGAATTCAAAAAACAAAAAAAATACTCGTATTCTTTATTATGTTTATAAATTATAACTTTCAAAATTTTTACAGACCAGAACGTCAAAGTTCTTAATTATACGCATATAAGAAAGATATTGGTTTTAAAAGTATGATAATAAATCTCAAATAAACATGTACTACATAGTTTATTAAAAAAAAATTCTTTAAATGAAAAAAATTCTTTATAATCTACGCTGAATCGTATCTTGAAAAATGAATAATAGTAATATTCCTTAATGCTAAAGATGCTTCATTTTTAAGAATAAATTTTATAAGCTTTGTTAACCTTACATACTTCCGAAATTACTCTACCTACGGTCAACTTTCTTTATAATTGTATTTTTTTACAATGAATGGACTAAAATTTTTAAAAATTATATTATTTCCGCTATGTCTTAAATTCACAAAGTACAAGTCAGTTGATGAAATACATGGTGGAAGTTTTCGTTGAAAAAGGGATTTTACGAATGCACTGTATATACCGAAAATAAAAGAGATTATTGTGGCTGAATAATGCGCCACCAATCTGGCACACATTCAAGAATTGTTATATGTATGTACGTAGCTGCGCGAAAATTTCAAATATCAAGCAGCATGATCTCAGATTTACATCCTCATAAATGTAGCATCTTGGTTAGAGTTAATGGGCGCATTATACTAAAATTCTGCAAAGAATTTTATATACTGTAAAAGGTGCCTTCTTAGCGAAATTTTAAGATCAATAGAATTTTCAAAAAAACGTGATATTGTCTGACTTTTATAAACAGTACAGTACCAATATGTGTAATAATGGCATATACTTGATATCAGGAAACTGTATATCACGAAGTGAATAGTTTATATGCATTTTTAATAATGTACAGTACGTCCGCAAAATCTCATAACTGAACTGTGATTGAACAACGCATTAAATGCAATGAAACGTGAAATTCTACACTTAAACTTCACGACATTGCATCACATAGCACTTATATTTATATATAGTATGAGATTTGTTTAACATAACAAACGTTCAACTTGTATTTTTATCGCATTAACAGGTTTTGTCAATTAATTTGAATGACTTTTTTTTTTATTATTGTCCTTCGGAATTGCATTAATCAAATATGGGTTTGTTGTCAGATAGTTTTCAGAGCTATTAACAGTAGGGTTCTGCAAATGCCCATGCCAGCACATGGGGCACTATGCCGGGCACCAGTGCCTTGGGCCATGCCAGTGCCTATAATCAAAAAGTACCAGGCACTTTTAGGCCGGCATCTTTGTACTGTGCCCTCAAAAGTGCCCATGCCAGATACAGTGGCACCATGCCAGGCACCAGGGCACAAAATTTCCGGGTGATGTAATATGCCTTTTTTCTGTCAATGGTTTTTTTAAATCGGAATTTAGATGCAAGCTTATAAAAAGTGGAAAATTTCCGTCCGTCGAAAAGTCAGGTCAGAAATTGTCACATGCAAACGGAAATTTCACAGTAAGATTTGTCTCTGCCATTCATAGGAGGACATTCGTCTGATTGGCTGATGTAAATCAATTGCCCGGATTACTTATTTATACACTTTAAAGTACTTTTTGGGAACACAACGTTTCACTAACAAAAAATCACCGTAAAAGCCATTTTTCGCTTCGATAGAACGTCTATATTCACTATGCAAAAATAATCAGTAATAATCAGTATCCCCGCGAACTTTACTTAGAAGGCAAAATATGCCTACCGTTTATTGGACCATATCAAATTATACTGTAGAGTGAAGGTAACCAGAAATGTTTTCGTCTAAAACTATTTTATTACGTTAGATTTAAATAAACTTTTATTTTTAACTGTTTAATTTGAATAGGTACAAGCTCTTTAACAAGAAGATCCGGGCTTAATATTTAAATTTAGTCGGCTCTTGTAGTGTGTTTGAATTTGTCGACCGTGAATCAATAGTTAAAGTTTTAATAGGTTTAATTTATATCTTATATGGTAGATTATTTAATAGTTTGGGTTTATTAGTAATAAATATCTTATTTACCCACTTTACGCGTACTATCTATTCTCTACATATTAATAATAAATTCTTTCACGTGTATTTATTAATTTGTAAGCTTCTTTATACGAAGTTTCTTTCGTTTTCTAATATCGTAGTATTAATTAAAAATTATGCATTTGATTGGTTAATTATCGCGAGAAATCACGAGTAGATCTACAAAAATCAACCAATCATATAAATGTCTTCCTATGACCATGTTCTAAAGTCCAGACTTTACCAACCCAACTTTGCGATGCAATTATTATTAATAGGGTGATTCAGAATTAATGTTCAGATTTCTGGTTTCAAATCAAATTAGTGACGTATTTGTTTTGAAATGGGTGATTTATAACCTCTATTTTTTTTTATATGACAATAATATTTCATCAGAAAAATACATCTATTTCGTTTTCTGATTTCGGAATCTCAAAACAGAAATGGGAAATTTTAACCTCCCATTTATTTTAGAAATAAGTTAATTCTGAATCACCCTAATAGGGAAATAACGTTCATGACGATCTTGATTATTTCGTGCTCCCCGAACAAGTGAGTTTATAATTTTCGGGTTCTTTACCAACTCATTTACTATTGATTCCTCTAACTTCCTCTTTCTGGTAATCAACTGTACCTTCTTCCGACTGAGTTCACATAGCATAATTTTTGTTTCGTCCAGTTTCTTTTGTATTCCTTCAGTGCAAGATATGTAAGTTCCAAGTTATAAAAATCTTCACGAGAAGATGGGAGGAAAGCCTCATACATTAAAACCAAATGAAATAGGCTACCAGAAGCGGCAAAAGCGTACACTCTGATCTCATGACCTAGTTTCCATTTTGATTTAGCATTTAAATATATAGATTACAATATATCTTAAAATTGTTCACAACTTCAAATTATAATACTTACCAACCACTATAAGACCCACCAGACCAATTTATCCACACCCGTACCCTTCAATTGATCTTCAGCTACCGCCCATAAGTCCCGGAGTTCTAAACCCAATTTAAGGGTAGTATCTCATTCTTTAGACCATGAACACCGTGGGAGACCATCAGGAACCTCTAAACAGCCAATAACTGGAGTCTGATATTCGATCGCTGCATCAACCTTAAATTCAATTCGTGCACGGACATTTGGATCTTTCTCTTTATTTGATCGATCAAATAATAATAAAGAGGACTAAAAAACATTATCAAATTTTTAATAATGTCGTAAATACAAAATAAAGAAGTGAAAGTAAAAGAAACTCACTCGAAGGCATATTGACTTTTTTGGTTGTTTACGATATACTTCAACCTTATGCATTACCACTTCCCAGTCAAGATCTTCTAAGTTATTCTCAGTAATGTAGACAACAGATGGCTCTTGAAGGTCTAACTCCATCTCATTTTCATTGACCTCCCTACAAATCTCAGAAAATTTTTTTTCATCATTAGTGCTTACACTCGAAGGATCTATTTTGTGTTGTATTGCTGATGATTAATATGACTATTGCATCCAGTCTCTTGAAGGTCTAACTCTATCTCATTTTCTCCAAACTCTTTAAAAGTCGCAGGAAGATCTCTTTTAACAATAGTGCTTATAGTCGAAGAATTTATTTCGTTTTGTAAATTTTGATTCTGAATGAAATATTAATTTATACTATATAAATTCGATAAACAATTAATATTTTTTTACATTTTTACGTCTTACTATACTAACATCTGATTCACCTGATTCATTACTAAAAAATAAATACAAAATAATTTAATGTCAAATTTGCAATTATTAAAAAAGTAATACATAAGTAAAACTTACGTCAGAGTGTATTTACTTCACTAGATTTCTGTATAACTTTCTTCGCCAGGACCAAAGATCTGAGATTATATTGGTGTATTGCATTTGTTGTGTTAATTGCGCTTATGACTTCATCGGTTGTCGTTATTGCGGCTTGTAATATCCCCTCTGTCTTGAATCAGGAATCAGAAAACCATTATTTTCTGCTAGCCAACCAATACACAAATAACCTACTTAATTACTCGTACAGTATTTAGTTTCTTTTCATATTCAATATCTTGCCAAAGTGTGGAAACCTTTGGATCGGACATTTGGTTCTAATAAAAAATAATAATAATAATAATATACATAGTGCAGAATGGTTTGATTTTGACTTGTCAATATCCACGATGAACATAGAATGATTTGACTCATCGTAGATATCCACAATGAGCGTAGAATGATTTTGATTCGCAAATAACAATGTTTAGCCTATTTTGGCGAGCTAAAAGGTCGTCAATACCCACGACGAGCTAAAAGGCCCATAACGAGCCAGAAGGTCATTAATAGGACAGCTAAAAGGTGTCCTACCTAATCGTAGTAAACGGCTAAAAGAGCAGCTAAAAGGTGCACTGTATTAGTCTCACTAGAAAGTCATCAACAAGACAGCTAAAAGGTGTCCTGCATAGTTGTGGTAAAACTCCTAGTCTAATGCGCTTACCTTCAAAGTACGAAGTAAATACCGGGCTCGTTTCTTTTTCGACAGCTATATTTCTTTTCTAAGTTTTCTTCAATGGTCCTTAAATTGTCTTTCAGCCAGGAGTTCTCTTTACGAAAGGAGCCACTGAAGTCGCTTTGTGTTTTTCGAAATTGGTAGTATCCATGAATGGTCCAATTTCGAGGTAACGCGTCGTCAAACTACGCAAGATTTTTGTTCATGAGTTCAATGTTGAAGAAATTCAAAAAGTTGTTTGGTTAGAATCGCTCATTTTTAGCTAAATGCACGAGTACAGATGATGGTGAAATTAATTTCTCCAATTTCACCAATTCACCACCAATTTCACCAATAGTGGTGAAATTATTTCACCACATTTCACCATATTTCACCAGCATCTATATGCACGAGTTTAGCACCGAAAATCTAACTAATATGGACTAGGGTATAAATAAGAGATATCATATGTATTGCTGTATTGTATATAGGGTGTCTGGCATAGTGGCAAAGGCATGCCAACAGTGGCATACCAATGATGGCATGCCAAAAACAAATTTGGCATGCCACTGGGTACAATATAAAAATTATATTCATAAATATTCAAACCATATACTGTATGTAGTATTATACAGTAAATACAGAAATAATATAACATTTTATGGCACAAATTTTAACAAAAGGCATGCCCTGTGGCATGCCAAATTTTTTTGACATGCCAGACACCCTAATTGTATAGTATATAGGGCAGATATTGTTATTTGCACAAAATTAACAATGGGCCGTGCGAATTGCACAAAAAATAGAATAACATTCTGTATAAAAAAAATTTTTTGCACAGCATATTTGTGCCGAATTTTCAACACTGTATGGGGCTCAGTGTTGAAAATTCGTTGGTTTTTTGCACAAAATTTTATAAATAATTTTTTTGCACAGCATATTTGTGCCGAATTTTCAACACTGATCATTTTAAAATAAACTAAAATTTGATATCCTTCTTATATAATACAATATATACTTTATTTGCTAACTATCATTCGATCTGCCCAAAGAACACATTTGACTTAATTATATCACCTGATCTGTAAATTTAATTGAAAGACTAATTCAAATCAAGAAGTTCATTAAAAATCTTATTGATGAGTAATCAATTTTTTTAAAAAATATTTTTATCTAATCGTTTATGCGTTAGAGTACATTATGCGAGATTACTGGATTAATTACTAACAATTATCTCATAAGCCACTTTTTTATATTAATGTTTACGTGTCCTGAACAGTGTCAGTCTTGTGCGATCCACTAGATAATAATAATGCAGTAATGAAGATAAAAGTGCACTTAAAAGACATCATTAAACCTAAATTCCTTAATAAATTCTCATTCCACATAACTTATACAAAAAAAATCAGGTTATACAAATTTATTTAAAATATCGATGCTCTTTCGTAGAGCTATTAACACATTTAAACTGTGCTTCTTTACTGCCGGCTACAAGTTAATAAGTGGCAAACGAACGTTGGAGTACGTTTGTTAGAATATACAGTACAAATGAACTTATTTCGTTAGTTTTGAAAAACATTAACAAAGTTTACGGATTTCTCTTGGAATTTACATCTATCTTGCGGTCTAATGATCCAAATAAAGCGATATTTATATCTTCTGATTCGTCTCGATAAGACGAATCGAATGGTACTAAAATTGTTCGATTCGGATCAGTGGATCGCAAGATATTATCAGAAAACATAAGTGCGCCACAATACCCATCCTCCTCAAGATGCTGTAATTATGTTGATATCTGCAAAGTTGATAACAAAGATATAGTTATTATTTATATAGCTTGAACTCTATAACACCTTCTTATTACTACCTACATTAACCACTCGACTATATTTAACATACCCTTTGCAACTTAATTTAGTTTTAATGAGTGGTTAATATTAACGAGGATCAAGTGTATATCAGATATGAAACTATCAGAAACTTGAATTCTTTGATAAATTGCCAAATTATATATTGTCTTATGTCAAGAAATCGGTCCTTATCTCAAAATAATACACATGCACGTATTCGAAATAACGCGTATATATACTCGAAATGGATGTTATTACGCGAAAAGACTTACGCGATAAGACATTACGAAAAACAAACCCTTTTTTATTTAATCCAATTTTTCATTAAAAAGAAAAAAGAAATACAAATTTAATTTTAAAATATTTTTTTTTTAATCTCCTTTCTAACATTAAACCTATAATCTCCGTAAGAGTTCAAAGTTTCATCGATCAAATCGATCAACTTACTGATCTGCTGATACGAATTCGCTTCTTTTAATAACCTATGAAATTCTTTAAAATATAAACATGTTTCATTCTCATCATCATAAATATACTCAAGACTCCAAAGACACATTTTAAATTCATAAAAACAACCACCTCTTGAATTGCAAACATCATCAATTCCGCCTGAAAATCTACCTACCATTATCCTGTACATAGTATTTCTAATATTCGCATACCAACCCCCTCTTAAATTGCAAACTTCTTTATTTCCACTTGCAAATTTACATTTCTTTATCCTTTGCATAATATTTTCAATATTTGAATAAATTCGATCTTCCACTTCTTTAAAAAAGATATTAATGTCTCTCGTAAAATATTTATTAGGTCCAATCATCGAAAATTCAACATAATTATTTTGAAATTTCACCCAACGTATAAATACGGTCCAAAAATTCACATAAATATCTTCAAATTTGCCCATGTCATTCTCGATCATTAAATATCCTTCTTTTTTCCATTCTGATGCTTCAAAAGCCTCTTGAAGTAAGAATAAAAATCTCTCACGAAAAAAGGTATCTATTACAGATACTTTTAAAAATACTTGGAACGGGTCAAAATCCAAGATACACTTGCGATCGAAAAATACTGTAATAAAATGATCTTTTACGATCATATCAAAAATTTCGAGAGGTATCACGTTAAACCAATTAGTTCGACTCATCGTTGTTAAAAAAAACCCCCATAATCAAAAATCTTTATATATACCTTTTTTTTCTCATCGATCAATTATTATATCAGCAAATTCTCATCAATGTCGTACAAAACCTAATTTGTCCAAAAAAAAACCCGTTCTTACATGTAAAAAAAGGGGTTTCTAAAATTGTTTTCCTTGGCTAAAGAAATGGCTCACATCGTTCGTAACGTCATTGTAATAAACGACCGAATCTATGCCAAAGACTTTCAATATCTTATTGGAAAACCGATGAAGCAAGATAATAAGTCGTTAAGATGGGTCAAAATTAATCTAATTTTCGCTGAATTGAAGTTTTTTTTACCAACAATTCAAATTCAAAATTATTGCACTTACTTACAAAGAAAATATAAATATGTGGGGGGTGTCAATAGAAACCAAGCAAATTTATCTAATAAATTTGTTTGGTTTCTATTGACACCCCCATGTATATAATAAAAATCATTCCGAACGACTAACTTGGAAATCCTCGATTCAATAACATTAATTTACCGGTAATTATTGAGGCAATAATTGGTATGACATTTCTTTAATAATATTTGTTATTGTCATTATTGTAACTCTAAGATTTATGTGATTAACGTCGATATACTCTAAAATAAGCCATTTACTAAATTTATTCTGTTTTCTGTTACTCACGTTTACATTTAATACTGGGATTTTTATTTATTCGAAGTTTTTGTCGCATAAGTATGTGTGACATGAGAAGCTGGAATAAATTTATGTCGCAACTGATGTTTGAAAGGATGATGCTAGAAATTGGATCTATTTTAATATGAAAACTTTAGAATTTTAGGATTTTAGGATACGTTTGGGATTTAGTTATATTTGATTATAGAAGAGTATTAATGGTTTTTGGTAGGCTTTATATTTTCAAGAGAGACCAATTCAACGTCAATTTCACTGAAATTATTTTATCACTCTAGTTATATTTTGAAATAAATAAGATTTGAAAATAGTCTTAAATATCAGACTGTTGTTGGCATATCCTTGCTCAAAGTTTGAAAAAACATAGGCAAGATTAAAACTTTAATAACAATAGAATAAAAATTTATTACCAATAAACCAATATAAAATTTTGACCAAATACTACCCGATTTCCGTGCAAAATTTGCTAATTACGATAATTTAAAAAACGTGATAAATCTAAATTTCATTTACCTTTAGTGTTAGTAGTCGAGGCCTTAACTAGCGATCGACTGAATAAATGCTAAATAATACGTAAAATCTTAAATTTAACGTTCATAGTTGATTAATTTATGTTAATCAAGCACGATCTTTAATCAATTAAATAACTGTACTAGCGAAACTTTCATTAACTAAGAAAATTTTAAGAGAACCGTTCGTCATATATAGTATTTGGAATCTATCGAACATTAGAAAACTATAGACCATTATTATATTTCATGTTGAGAAGTCAAATTGTCGGGAAATTAATTTGATCGGGAAAAATATTTGGTGAAAACTTCTATCGCTATTGGCGAAATGGGCTGTCAGGAATATTCATGGCATAAAAATAAGGTTATCAGTATGAGATTGCGCAACAATGGATTACAGTTATTTTATTATTCTCGACTCAGAATGATAAATTACCGAGCGTCAGCCCACTTATCTTCGGTTATTATATGAGTGCGTGAAAAACCTGCAATTGCATATCGGTATAATGATTTACTACAGTACTATGATAAGTTTCAGGTTTTCACATATCAATAATTTTTTTTCCAGTTGTCACCAGGTATAATGAAAAATATAGTAGCTGTAAACCCATTGGTGAAGATCTACATGATTGAGCTTGCTTTGGACTACCATGACTCAGATGCCGGCCGAACCATTAACGTTAATATTGATTTGTACTTGACTCAACGTGACAAATAATGACTTATTATTTCAATTGTGATACGTAGTATCCTGTATACAACTTAATCTGATTATATATAATGATTCGAAAGGGCATTTTAATATAAGAATAGAAATTTTAAATTTCTGCGCCTAGCGATATGATAATATTAGATTGGTTATCGTCATATGCGTACCGTTTACTAATATTACGTAGTATGCAAGGATTTTTTTTTTTAAAAAAAAACAAACTTCTACTAAAAAAAAAAAACATTTCGAGATGTACAGTACGTACGTACGTACGTACGTACGAAATGCATGTCATACAGCAATAATTCGGAGTTTAATTCCGGAGCGCAGCAAAAAATTGAGATCGTCTTGGCGTATATTTATATAAAAGGAAAAGAAAAAAATTCATCTCGAATTTTAATTTATTTATTACAAATGAACCAAAAACAAAATTTTCATTTTTGTATATATTTGTATATACCATAATTTATAAAATTACGATTTCTTTTATTTATTTATTTTTTTTATTATGATTAATCAAGAAGAAATTGATGTTTTACGAACAATTTATGCTCACGATCTCACAATTTCAAATACGAACCCTAGATGGTATGGAGTGATGGTTGCTACTGGTGACCAGCATCAATGTGAAAGTAGTGAAAATGTAGAACAACAATATATTCACGTATTATTTCACGTGCCATCTGGATATCCTTCTGTACCTGTTGAAGTTCGTGTAGTTACTCCTGTATTAATTACGAATTCAAAAACTTCAAAATCTTCGAATATAATTGACAATGAAATTAGTGTTAAAGAAGAATTGGAAATTATATTAAATTTAAAAGCACAAGAAATGGCAAATAATGAAGAATTTGCGATGTATGAAATAGCAGAATTAGCAAGAAATTGGTTATGGGATAATCAACGACTTTCAAATATCTCCCTTAAAATTAATCATGATTGGTGGGTAGGAGAATTATTAGATAGAATATTTAATTGGCAAACAAATTCATATTCACCTTCAAAAATAATGGAACTTCAATTTAATATGGAGCTTCAAGTTATTGAAGGCATACAAAAAATTTGCGGTGTCGAAGTTGATATTGCAAAGGTTAGATTCTTCTTAATGAAGAATCTTTGGAAGGTTGAAAAGACGATCGAAGCTGTTACAAAGAATATAAATGAAAATAATGACGAAACAAATACTAACTTTATATATGAAACCACTGATGACATTGACGAAAAAAGTTGCAGCATTTGTTTTGATACTTTTCCATCCCGTGAAATAATAACTTTTGTCATATGTAATCATAGTGTTTGTAATGAATGTTTTATTCAATATCTTTCACTAAAGATATCAGAAAATCATGTCTTCACAATTAGATGCCCTGGTGAGGTTAATTGTCCACATTTTGTTGATCCTATAATAATTGGACGATTACTTTCACCAAAATTGATTTATAAATATTATTCTTGTCTTCGTGAATCATTTAATCAACTTCAACAACATACAGAGATTACAAAAAAATCTCAAGCAGCAAAAAAATTTTCATGGTGTATAAATCCAAAATGTGATCATTCATTATCTCAACAAAATTCGGATAGCATTGAAACACCATCACTCTTACATTGTAATGGCTGTACTTTAACCTGGTGTTCCTCATGTGAATTTATGGGTGGACATTGGCCATCATCATGTAAAGATCATGAAACTTACCTTCTTACAAGTCACACCGTAAAATCTATTAAAATATTTAAAACTGAAGCTTCAGAGATCATGACGAAACCATGTCCAAATTGCAGAATTTTGATTACTAAGGATGGAGGATGTATGCATATGACATGTCGATTTTGTCAACACGAATTTTGCTGGAGTTGTTTAGTCGAATGGAAATTGAGGACTCATAGTGCTCTTTACGAGTGTGATAAACCAAAATCGGCTAATGGAGAAACATTATTTGGCATATTTGATGTAGATGATACTCAACTCTTACCTGGAACATTTAAGAGAAAATTTAAACAAGGAGTAATTGTACATTCACAAGCAATAAAAAAAGAACAAATGGATTTGGATGTTTTGGTTAAACAATATAATAATGGATCAAATACTAAAAATGTTAGAAAATTGAGGATTTATGTAACTAAATTATTGATTCAAATTAATTATATTATAAAATTTGCTTCTATGGGATTTTTTTGTAAATCAAATCATGATAAAAATGAAGTTAAAAAAGGTATTGAAATTTTACAAAGATTAGAATTTGGATTAAGAAGTTTGGAAAATGCTAGAGAACAAATTATTGAAATTGAAAGAGATAATTTTGGAAAAAGTAAAGGTAATATATTTAATACGGTAGATGAAGAGACACGATTTAAGCAGCTAGAATATGATATTGAACAGTATAAAGAAAGATTAGAAAATAATATAAAGAAACTTGTAAAATTACTAAACTATTTAGATAGTTTAACAAATATATAATAAAAGGTTGTTTTCTTAATACTACCGCACTATTACAGTAATCTTGGCCTTAAAGATTTATTTTTAAATTCGGCGAATATATTTTAATACAGCATTGCTAACCTTAACGGGAGGTTAGGACAGACCAAGCACCATAATCAATCTGTTTAGAACGGGTCTGTGGGTAAATTTTTATTAGTAAAAAAATAGTTTAACGAATCATTATTCCAATGAATAAAACACGTGAAAATTTAATACGTCAAAAAGAAAAATTTTATTAGCGGAAGTTCGTTTAACCGATTAGGGATATTTATCATTCCGATCAACAAGAGATAGAGGTCCAACTGTCCTTTTTTTTGTCGAAATTTTTCATTGATTGATTAGAAAAAATAAACCTATTTTTACATTATCATTATCGGTTATAGATCTTACCAAAGTCGACGAATTAATACCTTATTACTTATGCAAAAAATCTTCGCCGCAAATAAAAAAAGCATATTTTTGTGTTCTGTTGGTTTGTAGTAAATTCTGAAAAAAAAAATAGATTGAAAGGGTCGTTGACTACTTTATCCTTTCGTTGATCCGTAGTTTTCATTATTATTTATTATTATTATTATTTCGATTTGTAAAAACAATAATCGCTAAGTGGTAAAAATGATAAAGATGTTTGCTCAAGCTTCAATTGCAATCAATATTTTAATTAATTTTAATACCTGAGCACCAACATGATCACATTGAGGAAGGTGAGTGAAATAGGGATGGCACAAAAATTTGGCGGTCCCGTGACTAATTAAACAACAATGATATCTTAATTTTTGTTACAAAGTAGAAAGAATTTCCCTTGCGAATTTATGAGTTTTTTGTGATCCTTGTTTTTTTTCGTTTTTAATTTTTTACTTCGCATTTGTATGTTACACTCTGATCTTACAATCGGATTTGATAAAAATCACAGGACTGCCAAATTTTTGCGAGGAAGATACGTGAGCATATTCAATCATATTATCATCTATACTATTGGTTTTCAACATCCATACTATCGGTCCTCAAAAATAATCTAATTACAGCTATTATCATAATTCCTGGGACGCCTGTAAAAATTTGCCGAATGATTTTTCGGCCGATCCGGTTAAGTTAGGGAATAATAATAATAAGTAACAAATATATCAAATAAGATCAGGTGACTAATTGCCCGGAGGGACCCTTAGTTATTCGGCAAGTGATACGAAAATTACGTTTTTGATGCATTTCGACCAAAAATAGTGACTTTTTTGATGCATCTCTTCCTAAATTTCTTGTATTCGCGCACGCGTGTTCAAATTTGTTAATTTAGTGTAACAAAATATGCATATTCACGCGTTTGTGTAATAAGATGATCATATGATACGTATGCTCCGGGCACATAATGCTACGCATTTTCCTAGAATATATTACAATAAGACTAAATATTACTTGTTGCACTTGTAAGTCGTAAAATTTCAATCTTATTCTTGATCCATTTT